CACCTGCCTCTCCAGTCCACCCGGGCCCCCAGTTCCCCAGTGGGCAGTAAGGCAACCAGCCAGCGCCACGCACCTTCCTCTTGGTGTTGCAGAAGATGACCGCCTGGGTGATGGTGAGCGTGTCGTAGAGGTCACACAAAGTGTCAAACTTCCACTCCTCCCTCTCCACGGCCACGAAGAACTGCTTGATGCCCTCAAGCGTCAGCTCATCGCTGGGGACAGAAAGGGCTGCTGTCGTCACTCAGGCTCCCAGCACAGGGTCACTACAGGCACTCACTCCCCTCCACATCTGTCTGCTGTCGACTCTCACCCTGTGGGCCCACATTCTGGGTCATTCTAACAGTTAACAGCGTGGCTTGACCACACGGTAAGATAAACAGATCTGAACGTTGTGTAATATATAAATCCTTCCAATACGTGGTTTCTAAATAAGCCACTTCCCAACAGGAAGCACCAAGGATTCCTGGCACTCTGAGAGCCAAGCAAACTCTGGCAGCTAGTCCCAACACGTGGAGAGAAGGGCTCACCCGGAGTGTCAGGGGCCCTGGGCCTCGGCCTTACCGCTTCACCAGGATGCGGATGGGGTCCGTCATGAACTTGTTGGTCATCTCCAGGATCTCGTGGGGCAGCGTGGCGCTGATCAGCACCACCTGCGTGGCCGGTGGCAGGTACCTGTACACGTCGTAGATCTGTTCCTTAAAGCCTGCGAGCAGAGAGACACGTGCTCACTGCATGCCTCGCCCAACGCCAACCCTCGTCTCCCCTCTACCAACCTGCCTCTACGGCCCCCCCCCAGTGTGTGCCCCACCAGCCAGAGCTCACAACTTCTGATTCCCCAATCCCAGAGGGCCTGCCACTCAGAACCACCACGGTGGCCATGCCAGGCCCAGGCCCAGGCAGAGGACCTCCTCCATCCCGTGGAACCCAGAGGGGCACACACGTCAGCTCAAGTGTACAGCTGTCACATGACAGGGCCGCCTCTCCAGGTACACAGGCCGGGACTGCCTGTCGGGGCCCACAAACAGTGCTGGCAGCACCCGACTCCCCAAGTCCGCGCTCCAGACAGGCTCACGGGATCCCTGCTGACACGCACGCCTGCCCTCCTCCCACCACCTTCCGCCAAGTGCTTCTCTAGCTGCTATAAAAGACATCTGGGGTGGGGTGGCTGGTGGACACCGGAGCTGTTTGAGGAATGTTACAGGATGGGGTTAGTTAGACCCCTTCCCCCAGAAAGGCTCATCGGAGCCACACCTCAACTCTCTGCTTCACCATCTAGCTGGCCCAGCAGACCCAGCACGCTGTGTTGGTCTGGGTTTGTGCTACTCTAAGAAAAGCTCCAAAAGGCCACAGGAGTTTTAATTCGCCATCTGGGCCCCAGGCCGCAGACGCCGAGGCAGCCAGTCCTGTGCCGGGAGAGACGCTTCGTGCTCACCTTTATTGAGCATCTCGTCGGCCTCGTCCAGGACCAGCATCTTGATGGCGCGTGTCCTCAAGCTCCTGCGACGAATCATGTCTGCAGACCGGGTTGTACATGGTTACCCCTGGAGATGGCGCAGGGGAGGCAGCCTGGGCACGGTTTCCCAAGCAGACACCCCCCACCCCACCCCCACGGTGGGGCAGACAGGCTCACTCACCAAAGACGCGGCCTGGCGTGCCGGCGACCACGTGCTGCCCGTAGTCAAGCTTTCGGATGTCTTCCCCCACGTTGGTGCCACCAATGCAGGCGTGGCACTGGACATTCATGTAGTCGCCGAGAGCAAGCAGGCCCTGGAGGACACAGAAGCCTTGGGGCTCAGGGCCCTCCCCCGCAAGGCGGAACCAAACTGCTTTCCCCATCAAAGTGAAGGAAGCGTGGCCAGGGTCTGACAGAGCGGGCACCCAGATAAGATCGGGGGAACCGATGACCCTGCCCGTCCATAGGCACCACCAGGGTTACCAAGACCCCGCCCACGCTCTCCTGCAGACACAAATGCAAGCTGTCCCGCTTACTCCTAAAGGGGAGTTTGTTTAGAAAGGGACCACAAGCAAGACTTCACACACTACGGATTGCAAGACTCGTGACGTTCCCTGGCTCGACTGAGGGACCGGGGCGCGCCCACAGGCCCCCCCATCCGTCAGTTACAACAGGATGCCGCACTGAGGCCCAGCGGTCGGGTTGAAATGACTGACCTTCTGAATCTGCACAGCCAGCTCTCTGGTGGGAGCCAGGATCAGAGCCTGGGTCTCACGAACCTGTCAAGGCAACCAGAACAGACCCCCACTAGTACTCAGTCACGAGACCGCCGCCAGTAAGCACAACCCAGCACCACCCCACCCACCTCAGACACCCCACACAGCTCGGGGCACCCCACTGCTTCCATGCTGGAGGTCTGCTCTGATTTCTCCTAAACCCACTGCCACCGAGGGGCTTCCAACTCAAGAGGCCTCCTGAAAGCTACTCTGCTAGGGACTCTTCCGGGAACAGACTGCCTCAGCGTCCCGGTAGCAGCCCCGTTCTGAACTCAGTGTGTCTCTCGTCCACTCAGAGGGGAGTGACTCTGAACGCTCATGAGAGCTCCGAGCAGAAGCCTGAGTGGGTCCCTCAAGATGCTGGGCAGTAGGCGGCATGCCCTCTAACTGCACATCACCTCTCTGGGTGAGACGGTGGTGGTGTGTCTGTTTTCCCGACAGGCCAGTGGAACTGCCCCAAGGGTGTCCGAAGCAGTCAGTGTGTATGGAAGCTCCTGCCTCATCTTTCCCTCCAGGAGCACCTGGGGGGTTCACACCTCAAACTTCTCCAATGGGGTTTGAAAACCTCACATGTCGTATTTGTCAATCAAGATTCTCCTGGATGGAGGCTCAGGGTCAAGGCAGTAGGTTACCTGGATGTCCAGACACTGCAGGACTGAGATGCTGAAGGTGGCTGTTTTGCCGGTGCCAGACTGGGACCTGGAAGGAAAAGTGGGTACAGGCTGTAGCTGCTGTCCACCCCTCACCCTAACACCCTCCCACAGGCCCCTCAGGGCAGGAAGCAGCACCCTCCCAGATCCCTCCCTCTCCCCCAGAAGGCCAACAATGCCTGTCCCGTGGAGGGATGGGACCCCACCTTGTGTTGGGAGGCCATAGGCAAGGGTTCTACAGGTGTTTTACAGTCAGCCAAAAAAAAGTGGAGGTGGGGGATGGGGGTGTGTTTCTTTTTACACTAAGACAGGTCTGCTGTCTGGCCCTGGTCTGCAACAGTCCTCTGAATCACCCCCTCCCCCCAGGGTGGGGGTCACCTTTGTGTCCATGAGTTTTGCTTTGCAAAACAAGGCCCAGGACGTACATCTCCACCCCCGACAGGAAAGGGGAAGCAGACTCCCCCAGCACAGGGCCCAAAAGGACCCACAGCCAGATCCAAGACCAGGGCTGTGGGGAAGGCGAGGAAGGGGCCAGCATGTGCCCAGGGGACAGAGACAGACAGACAGACAGACTCACTGGGCGATGACGTCCCTGCCTTTAATGATCTGCTTGATGGCACGCTGCTGGATCGCCGATGGCTTTTCAAAACCTGTCAACAGAGCACAGACCACCAGCTCTACCCACTGCACCACCACTTTCTCGGTTCACCAGCAACCCCCACACCTCAGGCAACACAAGTGAGTTCCCAGGAGCAGTGACAGAATGCTTCTGGCCAGGGGTGGGGTCTGATCCCATCAGGTCTTAAGCTCTGGCTGTCCAGCTGACTGGGGAGATGTGAAGAGTGACAGATGCCCCAGGCCACACTTTGAAAACTGATCACTTACCTTGTATGTCCATAATTCACACCTCCATGCTACCTCAACCTCCACCCTGGGTTCCAGTCTGCCTCTCAAGCTCCCCACATCCCAGACAAGGCTCCTGATTCTGCCTCCTCTGACGGGGTCCCTACCAGAGTGGCACCACCCAGACCAGAATCAAGCCGGAGCCAGGCATCTCTGCTGCCCACACTGCGTCCGGGCCACTGACTTCTCCCCATGGCAACACCGTCACTTCCCAGGGACCTTGCTCCACGTCCATTCCTACCACACCGCCTCCAAGCCCATGGGCCACCCCAACCCCACTCTTGAAACTTGCAATGCTCGCGCTGTGCCCCAGGTACAAGGCTCTGCCGGCTTCTCCAACAACCCTGGTTCCAGGGGTACCCCCCACCCCCTAAGCACAGCCCCAGGACCGCTCTTCCAGCAGTTTCCCCTCCACTGCCCCCTTCACTGAAACAGCGCCCTCGGAGTCACGAAAACCCCTCCCCCTTTAGTCTCTTCCTAGCAGGGAGCACTCGGTTCAGTTCGGCGGGTGGCCTTCCTCCCTGCAGGGCAGTGGACCGGCGACCCCTGGTGACGGGGCAGGGCTGTCTCAGACTGCCCACAGGTTCGGTTCCACCCTGTCCAATAGGGAGGGTCGTTACAAGTCAGAACGGACTCCATCCACGGCTTTGCTGCCGGCCTGTGAGCAGACCTCCGGCCTGGTGGTGAACAGCTGAGCGCTGAACCACTGCAACAGCCCCCCCCGCCCCCGGGCCTTCATCCCTGAAGCAACCCTGACTCACGGCGACCCCAGGCTGCCTGACGCGCAGCAGCCTGTCCCTCGCTGGCAGCTGGTGGCTCGGCCGCCTGGGCGCCGGCCACAGCGGCCCGTCCGATGGGCGGGTCCGCGGACACGGCCCGCAGCAGCCCTGGGAGCCCGGCCCCCACGTCCCCGCGCGACCCGGCGCCCTCACCGTAGGCGTAGATCCCGCGCAGCAGGTCCTCCCGCAGGCCCATGGTGTCGAAGGTGGGCGTCACGTCCACCTCCTCGCTTGTCTCGAACTCCACCTTGGTCATGTCCTCCTCCTTGAGCAGCCGCTTCCGCGCCGAGCCCGAGGTCGCCATCGTGGCCGTGGCCGCCATAACTGCAGGTCGGCCGGGAAAAACGCGCGCCGGCAGGCCGCAGAGGAAAGTGGAAGGCAGGTCGTCGTCGCCGCTGCCGCCGGCAGGAAGTGACGCCACTGAGCGCGCCTGCGTGCGTGCGTGCGTGCGTGCGTGCGAGTAAAAATCGTTGCCGTAGGGAAACGCTGGGTGCTGTTCTCGCGCGATCTTGAAGTCCCGCGGCGCCGGCGGTCTCAACGGGGCGGGGCCGGCGGGACCGGAAGTGGGCGGGCACCTGGCCTGGCCGGAAGTGCGTCTCTGTGTGTTGTCTCTGGGCTTCTCCCAGCTTTGCGGCCATTAGGCACGTCAGAACAAACCCGCGCCTGTGCCGCGCCGTCCGCACAGTTGCTCTCAGCTTGAGCGCATTTTTGCAGCCGTCTCCTTGAGGGCCTTCCTCTTTTCCGCCGCCCTATGAGATGCGCGCTTCCCCGGCTTGCCTCTAAGGAGCACTCTGGCCCCACTTCTTCCAAGACGGGTCCTTGATCCAGGTACAATGAAGGGTTCTGGAATTCCCATTCTTCTCAAGGCTGTCCATGGTTTGTGATAATCCACATAGTCAAATGCCTTGGCCTCGTCAATAAAACGCAAGTCAAGCTCTTTCCGGTCTTCTCTGCTTTAAGCCAAGATCGACCTGATATCCCTGGTCCCACGTACTTTTCTGAGCCCAGCCTGAATTACTGACACCTTCCCCTTCCACTCCTGGTATGGCTACTCTCAATATTGGTCCTGGATTCCCTGTGTTTCCAGCTCTTATTTGTACCCATGTACATGCTCTTGTCTAGCCAGAATTGTGAGGTAGATTTGGGGTCATGATAGTGGGGGAGGAAACATTAAAGAACTAGAGGAAAGTTGTATGTTTCATCAGTGCTATACTGCACCCTGACTGGCTCGT